GTGGATCGTATTGTCGGCTTGGATAAGGTTGCAGGAATGTCAGATTCTATGCATGGTGCATTCAAAACACGCAAAGGCATGTTTCGCACTGTGGGCCAGTTGTACAAGGAGCAACTGGGTAACCTGATGGCAACACTGAGGAACACAAACCCCAATTTTGTCCGTTGCATCATCCCCAACCACGAGAAAAAAGTAAACATTCAAAACTAATTTACAATGTTAAACTTTTGGACTTTGGACAGTTATTCATTTGTGTTGGTCCCTAGGCTGGTAAACTGGATCCTCACCTGGTTCTGGACCAGCTGCTGTAATGGAGTCCTGGAGGGAATCCGAATCTGCAGACAGGGCTTCCCCAACCGCATTGTCTTCCAGGAGTTCAGACAGAGGTAATACTGGGATTATAAAATGCTTAATTTTTGTTCAAAGCAAAGAATGTCCCTGCATCTCTATGTTTCAGATATGAAATCCTCACTCCTAATGCAATTCCAAAGGGCTTCATGGATGGGAAACAGGCTTGTGTACTGATGGTATGTGTATACAGATTTTGTGCTTATTTATTTTTAGTTATGAATTTAGTTCTTTCAAGATCGATAATATCTTCTAGTTTACTCAATTATAAAGGAATATATTTGCTCTTTTAGATCAAAGCTCTTGAACTGGACCCTAACTTGTACCGCATTGGCCAAAGTAAAGTATTTTTCCGAGCTGGAGTCCTGGCCCATCTGGAGGAGGAGAGAGACATGAAGATCACTGATGTTATCATCAGTTTTCAGGCCTGGTGCAGAGGATATGTGGCTCGCAAGTATGTCAGACCAAGACAACTGAAATGAGTTAATTAATACATTTAGTACTGGCTTATAATCACTCATTGTTCTGCATTTAATTTTAGAGCTTTTGCCAAAAGACAACAACAGCTTACTGCCATGAAAGTTATCCAAAGAAACTGTGCCGCCTATCTCAAACTCAGAAACTGGCAATGGTGGAGGCTATTCACAAAGGTAAACATGAGCAATGTTAGCAATGTGCATGTAGCCATACAGTAAGTCTCCTAATGTGTACCATATATTTTTTACACAGGTGAAGCCATTGCTTCAGGTGTCCCGGCAGGAAGAGGAGATGCTGGCCAAAGAGGAGGAGTTGTCTAAAATAAAGGAGAAGCAGATTCAGGCCGAGCAGCTGGTGGAGGAACTAGAGGCAAAGCAGAAGCAGGTACGAGCTCCTCTCTCCAGGAACGACTTTGGACATGATGTGGTTCTGATGGTTTGGTCCTCTCTTACAGCTAAGTGCGGAAAAGTTGGCTCTGCAAGAGCAGCTCCAGGCTGAGACAGAGCTTTGTGCAGAGGCTGAGGAGATGAGGGCTCGACTGGCCAACCGAAAACAGGAGCTGGAGGAAATCCTGCATGATCTAGAGTCCCGTTTGGAGGAGGAAGAGGAGAGGGTCACCCAACTGAACACGGAGCGGAAGAAGATGCAGCAGAACATCAATGTCAGTGAAGTCTGAGAAACAAGAGACAACTTGTATTCATGATGTAATCTGTTCTTCTGATTTGTTATTTTACAGGAACTAGAGCAGCAGCTGGATGAGGAGGAGGCTGTAAGGCAGAAGCTTCAGATGGAAAAGATGACAACAGACGCTAAACTGAAGAAGATAGAGGAAGACGTCATGGTGCTTGATGACCAGAACAACAAACTCTCCAAGGTCTGATTCAGATTTCTCTTTTGGATTACAATACAGCTTCTATTCTATTAAATAACTCTTTCCTTTTTGAATTCTTAGGAAAAGAAACTGTTGGAGGACCGTATTTCAGAGTTTACAACAAACTTGGCTGAAGAGGAAGAGAAATCTAAAAGTTTACAAAAACTCAAGAATAAACATGAGGCTATGATCACAGAGTTGGAGGGTATGACTTTGCTCTTTATTTGTTCCTTTTATATATTTTTGCTCCAAAATTTGCATTATAACCCATCTTTTTTTAAATATCAGATCGTCTGCGGAAGGAAGAAAAACAGCGTCAGGAATTGGAGAAAAATCGGCGCAAATTGGAGGGAGACTCCTCAGAGCTTCATGACCAGATTGCAGACCTGCAGGCTCAGATAGCCGAGCTCCGAGACCAGCTCGCCAAGAAAGAGGAGGAACTTCTGGCTGCTTTATCCAGGTAATAATTATAGTATTGTTTTAGTTTGCATTAATTTGTTATCAGGCTTGTATTTGAAATTCTGGTTTTGACCCAAATTGTTCCTACAAGACCAAAATAACCCAACAACAACAATGCATACAGAGTACTACTATCAAGCTAGTGTCTTACGCGTAACCTGTATAAAAAAAAGTGGACTAAGCAAGTGTGGCATTACCCATAGCGTTCAGCGTCACTCAAATGAAGAAAGCGATGTGAACGGTTACAGGGATGATTTTGGAGCCAGACTCTATATTATGAATAGGATTTTTTCAGTTCAGCAGTTATAGAGAGGGGCCACAATATTCTAATGCAAGTGAATGGGAGCCAGGGTTCAGATCTAGTTACTGCCTCATATAAAGTTAGTCACATGTTTTAATAGTAATAATGATAGTAATTGTAATCATATTATAATTATTTTGTTTTCAGGATAGAGGAAGAGGCTGCAGCCAAAAACACAGCCCAGAAGAAGATTCGTGAGTTGGAGGCGCAGATCTCTGAGCTGCAGGAGGACCTGGAGCTGGAGAGACAGGCACGGTCTAAGGCTGAGAAACACCGCAGAGACCTGGGAGAAGAACTGGAGGCCCTGAAAACTGAACTAGAAGATACACTGGACTCCACTGCAGCTCAACAAGAACTCAGGTTAAAGCTTACCCGGCCTTTTGTGGTACTGCTCAAGAAATGCACAAGACTGAAATATAGTGTTCTGTCCGTCTATAGATCTAAACGTGAGACTGAAGTCGCACAGCTTAAAAAGACCTTGGAAGAAGAGGCTAAAATCCATGAACAACAGATGGCTGAGATGAGACACAAACACAACCAGGCTTTTGAAGAACTGAATGAGCAGTTGGAACAGGCTAAAAGGGTAATGTTCAGGTTTTTACATTAAGGCTGCATCACTCGTTCTGGTTTGGCCCTGGTTTTAGTCAGCACACCAGTACAGAAATCAAAAGTTGTACCATTTCTTTAAAATAATGTGAAATCTAAACGAGCAGTGCAAATTACTTAGTATTCTCAACATAAAACTTTTGTCACTTATAAAAATTGCATGGACAGTACAATAATATGTATGATATTTGTTCCTACAGAATAAGGTGTCTGTGGAGAAGGCTAAGCACGCATTGGAGAGTGAGTGGAACGAGTTACAGATCGAGCTGAAGAATCTGACTCAAAGTAAAGGAGACTCAGAGCACCGCCGCAAAAAGGCCGAAGCTCAGGTCCAGGAGTTGCAGGTCAAATTTGGAGAGAGTGAGAAACAGAGGCACGACATGTCTGACAAAATGAGCAAGATGCAGGTGTGAAATGAGTTTAAACGTTAGATGTAAAAATTATGGAATTCTTTAATGAAAACATGTCTTGAACTTGATGATAATACATGTTTTTTCTTTCTTTAGTCTGAACTCGAAAATGCAAACACGCTCTTGTCTGAAGCAGAGGGCAAGAACATAAAATACAGCAAAGATGTGTCTTCACTGGAGTCTCAACTTTCAGACACACAGGTATTTACTACATGTTGGGTTTGCTTGCTTTTTGGAGACATTATATTTACTTGGATTCTAAAACTAAATCCTAATTCTAACCTATTTAATCTATATTTGAACTTTAAACCATAAAGTTTGTCTTTTAATTATAAAGGATTTTCATAATGGGGACCTCATTTTCGTCCCCATAAAGAGGCAGATCCCCATGAGTGTGTGTATTATACACATATACAACATCTGATTATAATCTGACTTCTGGACCTTTAAGATCATTTAAATGACTACTCACGTCAAATTGTGCAATCAGAGGAACCATGATCAGAAAGAGATGAAATGATTTAGTTTTCATGTAATTTTAATAGTATTATGACTCCAAAAATGTCTTCATAATCAGATCCAACCACAGCCAGTGAAATGCAATGTGCTGAATGGATAAAATTGTTTTTTTTTTATTTTTTTGTTTTGTTTTTTTCTTCAATCTCATGGGAATGTAGGAGCTGCTTCAAGAAGAGACTCGTCAGAAGCTGGCTTTGTCGACTAAACTCAGGCAAATGGAGGATGAACAGAACAATCTGAGGGAGATGATTGAGGAGGAGGAAGAGAGCAAGAGAAATGTGGAGAAGCAGGTGTCCACTCTCCAGGCACAGGTAGGACACAAGTTGAATGACTTTCAAACTCTTCACTTAACACAAAAACAATACTGACCATACATGTGTTCAGTTGGCAGACATGAAGAAGAAGCTTGAGTTGGAGGTCTCATCTTTGGAGGGGGCTGAGGAGGGACGCAAGAAACTCCAGCGAGATATGGACAGTCTAATGCTACAGTTGGAGGAGAAGACTTCGGCCTACGACAAACTGGAAAAGACAAAGAATCGACTCCAACAGGAGCTTGAGGACCATATGGTGGACCAGGACAACCTGAGGCAGATCGTGTCTAACCTGGAGAGGAAGCAGAAGAAATTTGATCAGGTATTTTTTGCTTGTTGCTGGATGTAGTCAATGCAGTGAAAGAGGTGTTTCTCTAAATATTGTTAAACCAAATATTCCAGATGCTGGCAGAGGAGAAGGCGATCTCCTCTCAGTACGCTGAGGAAAGGGACAAGGCTGAGGCTGAAGCCAGGGAGAAAGACACCCGAGCTCTGACTCTGGCCCGTGAGCTGGAGACCATGAGCGACCTGAAGGCTGAGCTGGAGCGCACCAATAAGACTCTTAAAGCTGAGATGGAGGACCTGGTCTCTTCCAAGGATGATGTTGGCAAGAGTGTAAGAGAATAAACAGTGCAGACTGCTTTGCATTATACCATTTCCTACATGGACATTTCAAATAACTAGTTGGCATGAATGAACCCACTGATGCGTTCCTGCAGGTTCATGAGTTGGAGCGCTCTAAACGAGCCATGGAGCAGCAGCTGGAGGAGATGCGGGTGCAGCTGGAGGAGCTGGAGGATGAGCTCCAGGCCACAGAGGACGCCAAACTGCGTCTGGAGGTGAACATGCAGGCCATGAAGGCCCAGTTTGACAGGGACCTCCAGGCCAGAGATGAGCAGGGAGAGGAGAGAAGGAAACAACTTGTCAAACAGGTAATGTAATAACTGGTCATGAAGGTACTGAGTAAACTGGATTATATTTCAGTATTTTTAAAACTTGATTAGGTGCGTGAGATGGAGGTGGAGCTGGAAGAGGAGCGTCGTCAGCGCAGCCTAGCCCTTTCATCCAAAAAGAAATTAGAGCTGGATTTGGCAGATCTTGAAATCCAGATTGATGCTGCTAATAAGGCCAGGGATGAAGCACTGAAACAACTGAAAAAGCTGCAGGTACAGTAGCCAACAAATGACTTACATAAAAGTAAAGTATAAGGCATTTCCACACTACAGTCTATGACTTTACTGCACAGGCACAAATGAAAGACGCAATGAGAGAAGTGGATGAGTTGCGTTTTGCCCGAGATGAAGCAGTTGCTTCAGCCAAAGAGACTGAAAAGAAACTCAAGACCATGGAAGCAGATGCCTTACATTACCAAGAGGTATGTTACCACTATAAATGAAGTTACTGCACTTTATAGTAATGCTGTTATTAATTTTCTCTAGGACCTGGCTACAGCAGAGAGAATGAAAAGACAGGTTATGACTGAAAGAGATGAGCTGCAAGAAGAGATCACCAGCACCAATGCAAAGAAGTATGAGCCAACAGAATACAATTAATGTACTTTTACTCAGACATGAAAGCAATGAAATGTGCTTTTTAAACTTTCTTATTTTACTATTTTTCTAGTTCCTCTTTGACGGATGAAAAGAGGCGCCTGGAGGCTCGTATTGCTCAACTGGAAGAAGAGATGGAGGAAGAACAGCTCAACACAGAGATGGTCAATGATCGCCTGAAGAGGAGCACACTACAGGTACATGTCAATCACTGAGCACTACCAAAATATTATTCTTTATCTGCCCATCTGCATAAACGTGATGTTTGTACCATACTTAATGATACAACAATCCTCTGTTACGTCATCAGACTGAACAGTTGACTACAGAGCTATCGGCAGAGCGCAGCAATTCTCAGCGCATTGAGGGGGCTCGTTCTCAGCTCGATCGCCAAAACAAGGAGCTGAAGCTGAAGCTACAGGAACTTGAGGGGACAATCAAGTCTAAATACAAGTCAAGCATTGCAATCCTAGAGTCCAAGATCGCCCAACTGGAGGAGCAACTTGACACAGAGTCCAAGTAAGTGTCTGTATCAGTGGATATACTAAAAATATTGAATTGACATGTCATAAAATGTTTGCTGTTTTATTTCAGGGAACGTCAGCAGGCCTCAAGACTGGTCAGGCGTACTGAGAAGAAACTCAAAGAAACTCTGTTGCAGGTTGATGATGAAAGACGTAACACCGAACAATACAAAGACCAGGTTAAACCCAAAATCTGCAAGTAGGTTTACAGTGTTGTTGAACTAATTACTGAAGGCGTTTCTCTTTTCAGTTGGATAAGTCAAACAGCCGTATGCGGCAGCTCAAACGGCAGCTGGAGGAGTCCGAGGAAGAGCTAACTCGGGCCAATGCTTATCGCAGGAAGCTGCAGAGAGAGTTGGACGATGCCACTGAGTCGGCAGACTTGATGAACCGAGAAGTGAGCACTCTCAAAAGCAAGCTCAGGTAAATCAAATTACGGTTTGTTTTTCATGCATTATGGAATATTGTTTTAAATTCAATTTATTTGAAAATATTTTGTTTTAAAGACGTGGAGACCTGCCTTTCAATGTGCGGCGTTCCACAAATCGCTCAGGAATGGACAGCGATGAAGATTTGGATGTGTCTGAAACACCTGAGCCTGCAGCGGAGTAAATTCCCCGGGGATAGGTTTTATTTGCCTATGTAAAAAAATATGATGTGAATGCAGAGGAAAGCTATGGAAGTTACCTGCTGGTAGATTCGTATTGATACCCATTCAACTGAAATCTAGTGTGTGTTTTCTAAGTCAAATAATCCAAACTACTTTTTCTCTCAGTTGTTTTTATCTGGTGTTTATTAGGCTACATATATTTTTGTCATTATTGGCTATTGCTATTAATTGCTAAAGAGTAAAAGACATTTTCTAATTACATCCGCAATTCAACCAGGTTTTAATGCATCTGTATCTTTTTTTATTATTATTTTTGTGCAAAACATATATATCATCATTCACAAGTTGTATTACCTCAAAAATAATGCATGTTGCCAGATATGGACTGCACAAACTGTGATGGGATTGGTAGCCAATAATGGAAAACATTTGAGTGCCACTACAAAGGTGTAAGGGTAGTTAATTTCAGTTTCAATTTCTTTATTGCTGTAGGGGGGGTGAAGGGGCACATGTATTGCTCTTAAGAATGTCAAAGAATATACATGTAAATGTATGCCAATTTTATGATCATTTTATCTAATGCCTTAAAATATAAATAAATAATGTAACCTATTTTGTGTGTAGAATTTTATTGCAAAACATTTAATATAATATGACACGTTATTATTATTGTGAGGGAAGTAAAGGTGCCATTTTCACTTTCACACAGTCACGGGACACCAGTACAGGAATAACCAGTCACCTCAGGTGCCATATACAACAGCGCCCTCTCGCGGGGATGGACAGTAAGGGATTGAAAGCCTTTTCGGATAACTCGTACTTATGCCACTTACTTAAAAAGGAAAACATATTTGTATCATTGCCATTTATATATATATATATATATATATACACACATATCTCACGTTATTAGTTAACTTGTATTACTGGCCTTACAGTGTGAGTTAGTTTTGGTGGTGCCCATCTGCGGGGCGTTCACGGACCAATGCAGAGGATGATAAGGTCACTGCTCTGGTGCTACACCCGCTGCTATCTAGATCAGTTTAGGCATCAGTTCTGGTTTAATTAGATATTTTGTCTTACAGTTTGTTCACGTGAATTGTCTTATATTATTTTTGTTCACATTTGCTTATTGTCAGTAGAATCTTCGTCACTTTACAAACTAGTGCAGGTTAAATAGCTAAGCGTCTGCGAGAGCTAGCATAGTGTAATAGTGCAGTATCCGCGTGTGTCAGCAACATATGGGACATCTGAGAAACACAACTGCAAATAATGTGGCTTTGTAACTGTGACGGGAGAGATTATTCACTGGAATTGGGTAAGTGAAGTCAAATGCAGCATTAGCAGAGGTCGGCTAGTTGAAGCTAGCTTCAGTAATGTTTTGAGATCATGGATTGTGATATGTCTGTTGGCTAATGTTATGTCATACGTCACACGCACGAGAGATCTGTCAGCATTTGGACAGTAAAAACACACATACGTGTAACGTGAAGCTAACTGATTGCTTACTTAGCACATTTAACACTATAACATGAGAAGTGATGCATCCTCTGTGGAAATGACCTCTCCTGCCATCTGCTGTTCGCCACAACAGTAGACCACCGGACTAGACCATCACATGTCCAACTCTGTAACCATAGGGTGAAGTGAAGCAGCCGAGGCACGGCAGCTGCGGAGCAGAGTGGGGGTCCACGGGGGTCGAGGATGGAGCTGACTGCGGTGAGTGCATCAGATTCAACACCTGTCCTTGTGTCCTAACGCCACCTGCAAAATGTGCGGGTTATAACCATTGACTGTGAATATAACCTAGTAATAACGCGCGAATAAGCTGCGTAGACCTCATCCTTTGATGTGCATTTTCATGCCCTGTTCTGTGAATGAGTGCAGACTTACATATGAACATTAAGATGAACTATTTGCCAGAACTGTTTAGATTTAGATGTTTTTTTTTCAAGTCAATTACACATAAAATGGTAATTATCACTATTTTCTGTTCACCTCAATATGAGTTATGGACCTACTTTAAGGCAATGGTGTATTGCTAAATTATAAGGGGTATCTTTGCACAAACCTACATTTAAAGCATGACTCATGCCAATGACAAAGATGTGGGTCAACAGGACCCTTTCTTCACTAGCGCCTGGATACAAATGTATGTGCCTGGGTTTGAAAGATAAAGATAGAACCATAGAAAAATGCAGCCTGGATTAAGCCTCTGCCTTGGCTTCAAAATGGGGGGAGGAAGACATACGCAAGAGCATGTCATTGTGGGTAGTCAGGAGAAAACGAGGGGGAGTGTGGCTGTAATAGAGGTTTATTTTGCGAAATGTCGTATGTAACAGCTGTGTTAAGGCTTGAGCAAAGTAAAAAATGGTGGAAAAGCAGGATTCTGTGAGGCAAGCACCAGATGCGAGGAAGGTAGGACACATGTTTAGTGTGTGACACATGTGAGAACAGTAGTATTTGATATTATTTGACTGAATCTGTAGTCTTGCCTGTTGACACTTATTATTTGTCTTCTATTGTGACATTTAAAATGCATTTCCAGGACATTTGTGTGCTTTTGTGCCCCCTCTCTGCCTGTTGTATATGAGGCATAAAGCTGCAGACAATATTCTCTCTTAGAGTGACATGCTTCTGCTGCCTGTGTGCACTGGCTGTCTCTGCACATCTCCATCACTGCACTGCTGGATACAGCTTCTTGCATTGTCATGCAGTCACATTTGCACATTTTTCAAATTTAGATTCTTGATCAGATATATGTTTTGTAACAAAGACAATTGAGTATAAATATGTTCTGCTTAACTCTTGAAAATAATAATCCTATAAATGTTTTTGTTTCGGACCCTCTTATGCCCTCAGGCTCACCCAGCTCTCAAAGCCTTCATGTGTGGCTCTCTCAGTGGCACCTGCTCGACGCTGCTCTTCCAGCCTTTAGATCTGGTCAAAACACGGCTACAGACTTTGCAGAAAAATGCCAAACCAGGGTGAGTGGACGTGCATAGTATTAACATTTAGAACCGTGCATGAACCTTTGCAAACAACATGCTCACTGGACAAAAAGCATGGCTGGAGAAAATTAGGCCACTTCACCAAAGAGCTACATTATAGGTCAAGTTCATACAACAGTGCTCCATCCATGAGCAGGGTTGTGTCAGCCTGTCCAATATAATTAGACACACGTTGCTGGAAAATAAGGACAAGGACACAGCATGCACATTGCACACAATTAATTTGTAAACACACATAATGTTATTATTATTACAATAATTATTATGATGAAAAGTGTATTACAAACAATAACAAGGTTTTGTCATGTTTTTAGAGCACCTAAAATTGGAATGTTTTCTGTTTTTATACAAGTAATTAAAACAGAAAAATTCTTCAGTCTCTGGAAAGGAGTTTCACCAGTAAGTCACTTGTCATTAGTAGTACTTTATTGTATATACATGTGCAATAAGTTACTGTTATTTAAATTGTTTAATTGTTGTAACTTATTGTATTGACCTTATTTTTTCCTCAGTCATTCGTGCGCTGCATTCCTGGTGTGGGCATCTATTTCAGCACTTTTTATTCTCTGAAGCAGCACTTCTTCCAGGATCGAGCACCTAACGCTGGGGAGGCTGTGCTTCTTGGAGCAGGGGCCAGATCTGTGGCTGGGGTCTGCATGCTTCCATTCACAGTCATCAAGACACGCTTCGAGGTCAGTTACACACCATTTTCTAGATAACAAGATCTAAAAAGTAAGACACATTATGCAAAAATTGCTTTTAGCCATGTTAAAAACTTCCCTCATCAAAAAATTTACCTGGAGTTGTATTTAGTTTCATTCACAGTTTCAGTATACTCTTTTGCATTAGGTCTTTTTGCTGTGAGCACCAGATCCCCAGACAGTTGAGAAACAGATCATGAACCCAGAAGTGTCCTCCATAGTTTTCAAGTCTGCATTTCTGCACTCAAACTCTTTAGACTGCATGAATATTTGAACATACTGGTCACTGTTCTTAATGGCTGTTCATTCTCATTGCTACCATTAGATGGCGTTCTTACACCTAAACAGCCAAGGGATACTCCAAAGTGTGTTTGTTTAAGTGATTGGTGGTGCACAGATTGGCATCTTCCATCAAGTGTATGCCAGGGCAGCTATGGCTACCACAACCAAGTGTGTAGTGAATGAAATACGCACAGAAGTCACCATATTGCATTTTACTACATGGCCTCTCTGTTTCAAGTTAAAAAGTATTGATACCAGTTTATTTATTCTACTTGTGGATCTTGGTATACTAGTTTTGTATTAGTATGTTTAGGTGTAATTTCTTTACAACGCTACAGCTTTCTGTAATTATTAACCCCATAAGGAATCACTTTGTGTTCTTACTCAAAATAAAGCATGTCAGATTTTCCTCCCAGTAATAAGATCGTGGGGTACTCCTTACCATGGATTTGCTCAGGTGGCATTGATAGTGGGGTCAAATGCAGCAGACAAAGCTGTACATTGTCCAGGGAGTAATTGAAGGAATTTCTGAAGTTCAAATTCTGACAGTTTATGTTTCTTTCAGAGTGGCTGCTACAACTATGGGAGTGTAGTGGGGGCCCTAAAGAGCATGTATCAGACAGAGGGAGTCAGAGCTCTGTATTCTGGGCTAACTGCGACACTGCTCAGAGATGCTCCTTTCTCTGGCATCTACGTCATGTTCTACAGTCAAACCAAGAGGTCCCTGCCTCACGGTAGATGCCCATCTCTACTATTTAAGCTCTTCCTCAATAGTAATTTCAATTGACTGGTCCTGTATTTGTCACAGAGGTGGCCTCCTCCCCTTACGCTCCTCTGGTGAACTTCAGCTGTGGGGTAATTGCTGGAGTCATGGCCTCGCTAGCCACACAACCTGCTGATGTTGTCAAGACACATATTCAAGTTAGCCCATCCCACTGGCGCACGGTGGATGCCATCCACTACATCTACACTGTGAGGGCTCATTAATGCTCTCTTTGCAAATCTGAAAACAACGGTTCAAATTTAAACTGTTCAATTTTATTATTATTATTATTATTTTTTTTTTTTTAGGAAAATGGAGTACGGGGTTTCTTCCGTGGAGCTGTCCCTAGGTCTCTTAGACGCACACTAATGGCCGCCATGGCGTGGACCGTCTATGAACAACTAATGGCTAAAATGGGTCTCAAATCCTGAGGTGTTTTCAAGAGCCAGTGCTTGTCTTAATCTGAGAGAATATAGATGCATTTTCTCAATAAAGGCCTGAGGAAGGCGCTACACTCCAAGTGAGGTCTCACGACCTAGACACCCCTGCACAACAAAAGCTAAGGTATATAAAAATATCTAAGAAGAACAGGTGGCCTGTGTGTACTGTGTGTATGTGTGTGCTTGTAAAAATGTTGTGTTAATATGTGAAATGAGTGTTGTCTGTTAAACCTTACTGTTGTGTTGGTCTGGGATCAAAGTGATGTTCTCGGCTTCTCCTCCAAACTCCCAAGTTGTTGTCAGAGAACTGTTACTCGGAGCCATTTTGTCGGTGTATACAGTGTATCAACTTGACTGAAGATTCCCAAATGTGTACATCTGGGAATGCAGTTGAGACTCCAGAATCCTGCAGTGGCATTTTTAGAAAAAGATCTGCACAGACAATCATGCTGCTGTGTAAAGGAAATAAAGGCATACACAACTGATCACAAAAAGGCCTTTTGTTAGATATTCTGAAAACTATGCTTAACTGAGTACACTCGTGTCTGCTAATTGGTGTTACATCTGATGCTTCAAACTGAATTTTAAAGGTTACATAATAGTAGTGTCAGTTTGCTGACCGCTGAATTGATTTACACAAGTTTGTTGCACTTAATACTAATTGGTAGCATTTGTGAGTCATACTCATCAGTACTGATTCAAAATTTTTATTAAGTGCAACTTTGTAAATATTTGCCAAAAATAGTGATATTTTTATCTGTACCCTTTTATTGTAGAGAAGAGACAAAAAGCTATGTAATTAAACACCACAAACAAGACCTTTTAGTTTTCATGTAAACCTATATGTGTAGGATTTACCATTTTTAAACCGTGAATTTGAATGTAATATTTTTTTTTGTTTTATGTTACGAAACTAATGTTTGTCTCTGATTGTTTGTAAAACCACTCCTGCTGTTGATCTTTGTTATGACTATGTATATGGTCATTTAGTGTATTGAAGACACGTTTGTGTGTTTTATCTAAAAATGAGAAATATGCTTTTGACAGTTACGTGCACTTGTCAAAGTGATGGTAAACTGTTGTAATTAATTAAAATAAATGTATTTTGAATAAAACATTGGGTTTGGTTTTTGTCACTGAAGTAGCAGTCATTGGTTCAGCGCTTTGATTTAGTCATGCTTTTCAAGGGACAAATATTTTACAACCGAACCATAGACTGTATGGACTGAAACGTATGGGACTGAATATAGTCAATCAACCAGATAGTAGCTCATGAGCAGTGTTTCCATTCTTCATAACACGTAGACCACTCCAAATGAGTCTCACTCTCAACCCTAAAGTTACAAAAAAAAAACTATTGAATCCATGTTTTACTTGTATTCTTGTACATAAGCATGGGATATTCTGCACGAGTGTATGGGAAGACGTTGCTAGGCAACAGAGGACAAGCCAATAGTTAAAGTTAGCTGAATATAGAGAGATTCATTTCCGATCACAGCAAAAAAATATGTTTGTCTCCAAAATAAATGTCGGCTGTATCTCCAAATGTTATTGATTTGAGGCTTTTGAGGTCTTATTTTGAAAATAACATGAAGGAAGTGGTGATAATGGTTAATTTTCTCTAGAGCGGTGTGTCGCCGTGTGTCGCAGACGTCTCATCCATGGTAGCAAATCTACTCGATTCTACAGTTGTCGACATGCATTAAAAGTAGATTAATAGAATCAACGAATATTGATGCTTTAATCTTTTACAGAAGGTGTCGAGAGGTGGTTAAGTAGTCATGCTTAAAACAGTAATCTGACCAATTTTGAGCTAGCTAACGCTAAAGTGAGTTCGGGGTGTTAATAACAGAACTAAACCGTAGTCATTGTTGGTTTCTTGAACATCTTCAAACCAGGTTTTCAGAATGGTAAGATAGGAAGTATTGTAAGTGTTTCCCCAAAATTATGTTCTGAAAGAAATATCGGTGTTATTATTTCTTCATAGATCCTGTCTCGTGTAAAGCCAGCTGTAGGAGGTGAGGCACCTGAAAGCATCAGAGAGAAAAAGAACAAGACTAAGGTCCCTGCTTTAGACGATTATCTGCAACAAAGAGACTATCTCGGAGCTTTGACCCTGTTAGAGGTAAATCAACTTACCCCAGTCTAATACAGTGTCTATCCCATTATTATTATTAATCTATATATTAACTTATATAGATTAGTTATTTTGATTGTAACTTCTGATCCTTTAAACTACAAATTAATAATACATTTATAATTTAATAATCCTAATGGCATATCATTACTTATTTACGTTAACTTGCTAAGCCACAACTTTGTGCACTCATTTTGTGTTGGCATTGTGCTTCATATTTTCAAGTTCCAAAGGAGCATTGGTGAGAAAGGAGAGAATGCAGACCTCTGGATTGGCTATTGTGCCTTCCATTTGGGAGATTATAAGAGAGCCATGGAGGTAAACTGGACGTTTGTTTTAAGTAAAGACCCACTCCCTTATATGACAGTTATGCATAATTTAAACTTAATGCATTGTATTTTATTTAATTCTTATAGGAATACAAGTCCTTAACTAGGCAGGCTGACTGTCCGCTAGAGGTATGGGTCTATATGGCCTGTGCTATGTTTTTTCTGGGCCTTTATAAAGAAGCTGAAGAGGCTGCTTCCAAGGGTAGGCTTTTTAAAAAATGAGAAATACACATGAAAGTCATATTAACTAGTTTCAATGATGCCTATCATATGAACTGATTTGACTTATTTTGTCCTGTGAAGCACCTGTGTCTCCTCTGCAAAACCGGCTTCTATTCCACTTGGCTCACAAGGTTAGCGGAGTATTATTGAAAAGCCTTTAGTTGTAATTATTACACAAGTATATAAGTGGTCAAATAGTTTTAAGAACAGCTAATGAACTGCAGCTATTTTACTGCATTAAGCACATTTTTCTATATTACATTAATTGTTGCCTCTTTTGGTGGCAGTTCAATGATGAAAAAAGGCTTATGGGTTTCCATCAGAACCTAGAAGATGTCACTGAGGACCAGTTAAGCCTGGCTTCGATTCACTATATGCGTTCTCACTACCAGGAGGCTATAGATATCTATAAACGACTTCTTCTGCAGAACAGGTCTGTGCAAAATTATTGTAATGATTCAAGATGTGTGTAAAATCCCTCAGTCATCCAGACAGAATCCATGACAAAGGAGAAATTTGATTTGTCAACTGGACGAACATTTTTTGGTCTAATATGTTTTCGAAGCTCATCCAAGCTGCTTCTTCTGCTCTAGTCAGTCACTGGAGGGCGCTGCAGGGAGGAGCTAACTACACTGAAACTACTCTAAAACTAACACACCTACTTGTTTACAGTTTCTGTATGTTAGCTAGGTCTATTGAACTGCACTGGGTGTGGTCATATTAACATAATCATTTAGGGACCTAGATTGGTGCTTTCACACCTCAGGACCTGACTTCCCTATCCCTGTTGTTTTCTTAGGTTTGAGGATGGAGCTGTAAAAAGTAGACAGATCCATTTTTGTTCAGCCCTACGTTTTTGTTCAAGGTTCAAAGTCTTTCCTAACTATCCATACCCTCTCAAGCAATTTTTTTCTCTGGCTAAGATGATCTGTACCTCATTATCCTCAAAGGAGTGGCCCGTGGCTTTTAGGTGGAGATGTACGGCAGACTGTGGACCATTATTGCTCTCTTGTCTGTGTTGGTACATCCACTTGTGAAGTGGCTGTTTCGTTTCTCCAATGTAACGCTCACTGCAGTCTTCAATACTCTGAATGGAGTAGGCCACATTGCTTTGTTTGTGGCTCTGTGTTTTGTCTGTTGGGTGGACCAGTTTCTGTCTTAAAGTGTTTGTTGGTTTTAAATAGACTGGGATTTCATGTTGTCTGATAATCCTCTAGTTTTTCAGAAACACCAGCCATATAAGGAATAGTTACACCCTTTCTCCTGGGATCTGATTCTCTGTTGTCTTGTTTTTTAACTCTCTTTGTTTTGTTGAAAGCCATTTTGGATATCCAATAAGCAGAGAGAGCTTTCTTCACATGTTGTTTTTTTTTTTTTTGTCCGAATTACTCCAAATTTGTGTTGCAGTTGGTGGTGTGAATCGAAAAGCAGGTACTTGTCCAAATGTGTTGGCTTCCTGAAGACCTTTACCTGGAGTCGCCGGTCTTCTCCTATTGTTACTGCACAATCTAAGACAGCCAAAGTGTTCTCCTTGGCATCTTCACAAGTGAATGTGATGTTAGGATCTACAGCATCAATATATTCCAAATCTTGAATTTTGATTTTAGAAAAGTTATCATCAAAATAACAATACCAATGTGTGGGTGGAGTGCCTGGAAAAGAAGCCATTGTGCTCTGTTCAAATTGTTCCACATATAATTAAGCAATAATGGGAGAGACCAGTGAGCCCGTGGCAACGCTGTGGATTTGCCTGTAGAAGTTTCCTCTGAACTGAAAGCATGTGGTATTTAAACAAATTTTCAGCAGTTGGCAGATTTGGTCAGGTGAAAGTTTAGTTCCCTCTTCTAGCTTAGTATCCTACAGTAGTCTCCTCCTTGCTGCCTCCACTGCTAGTGATGTAGGGATACAAGTGCCGTACATATCCACATAAAAGCCACGGGCCACTCCTATGAGGATAGTGAGGTACAGATCTTAGCCAGAGAAAATAACTGGTTTGTGTGGGGAGTTAAAGAGGCTATTTTTGTTAAGAAAGACAATCCATCCTTGAACAGAAATGGAGGGCTCAGACATCATGTGTCTTCCATTTACAACTTCCATTTACAACTCCATCCTCAGACCTAAATCAAATCTAAGAAAACAATAGGGATAGCCAGGTCAGGGTCGAACCTGAACCTGAACGATTATGCTAATATGATTCCCCAAACTCAGTGCAGTTCAATAGACCTAACAAACAAACAGAAACTGTAAACAAGTAGGTGTGTTAGTTTCAGAGTAGTTTCAGTGTAGTTAGCTCCTCCCTGCAGGCAGATATAAGGCAGTGTCCCTAAGCATCTGATCAGAACTGAAGAAGTAGCTTAAATGAACTGAGAAATGTATCTGATGAAAAAACTTTTGTCTATTTGACAAATTTAATTTATCCTTTGCCAGAATGACTCAAGTGGCACACAAAAATAACATCAACTCATCAAGTAATTATCACAGTTGACAGTTCTACTCTTCTTTCAGGGACTTCCTGGCCCTCAAAGTCTATGTCGCTCTGTGTTACTACAAACTTGACTACTATGATGTATCTCAGGAGGTGTTGGCTGTTTACTTACAAAGTATCCCTGACTCTACCATTGCTCTCAATCTGAAAGCATGTAACCATTTTAGGCTCTATAATGGCAAAGCTGCTGAAGTATGTATCTCAAACAATACAAGTGAATGCCCTTAGCATTATTTTAACTTCTTATTATTCTCTGGTTTTCACAGGCTGAGTTAAAAAATCTCATTGACATCTCTTCCAGCTCATTTGAGTTTGCTAAGGAGCTTATTCGGCACAACCTGGTAAGCCAAAGCCCATGGAACTTGTGTATAGGGACCCACTGACATCCTCCTATTTCCTCTTTTCTCTCTGTAGGTTGTGTTTCGGGGAGGTGAGGGGGCTTTGCAGGTGTTGCCTCCTTTGATAGATGTGATCCCTGAAGCTAGACTTAACTTGGTCATTTATTACCTCCGACAAGGTAATTAGTGATTTGATTTTTTTTAATGTGTGTTATAGTGAAAAAGATATATAAAGATCCACTATGAGTGACGTCAACGTGATGTTATCTGTTACTGTTATTACAGTTCTAAATAATTCTTGAATCTTGATGGTTTCAGATGATGTCCAGGAAGCCTATAATCTCATTCAAGATCTAGTGCCAACTACACCACAGGTAATGCTTAGTTTATTTGGCCAACAAAAATCCTATTTTTTATAATTATATTTGTCTTTTCTTTCTTAATTGCAGGAGTACATTTTGAAAGGTGTTGTAAATGCGGCTCTAGGTCAAGAAATTGGATCAGTAAGTTTTTTTGTTTGTTTTTTGCTTTGAAGAGATTATGTTTTGAAGCTATTGATATGTTCATATGTATTTGTGGTTTCAGAGGGAAAATCTAAAAATTGCTCAACAGTTTTTTCAGTTGGTTGGTGGCTCAGCTAGCGAATGTGGTACACTGAATGCAAAATTAAACAATAACAATGCACTGCTTATATCAAAATGCTTCATAAAGTTAATGTTTACTTTCCTAGATACCATTCCCGGGAGGCAGTGCATGGCCTCGTGTTTTTTCCTCCTGAGACAATTTGAAGATGTGCTGGTCTATCTTAACTCAGTCAAGGTTAGTGTCGTCTTTGTACAGACCCCATGCTCTGCCTGTTTAAATATAGAAAAGTGAAGTGATTTCATCCTACGGCATATGTAAGATGGAGCTGAACAAGACGCCCACTTACAGGGTGAAGGTGTAACTGTTAAAACAAAATGATCTTTGCCAAGAACACAGTTTGCAGTGTTTATTTTGTAACACTTTTCTATGAAGCATGAGCATATTGTAATAATGTGTTGTTCTGCATTTCAGAACTACTTCTTTAATGATGATACATTCAACTTCAACTATGCACAAGCTAAAGCTGCCCTTGGCAATTACAAGGAGGCAGAAGAGGTATCATTTATGCAACACAAATGGACAAAAAATAGGATAAATAAGTTGTACTTTGATCATTAATAATAGTGCCTAACATGTGTGTACTGTCCCCAGGTATTTCTGCTGATTCAAAGTGAGAAGATAAAAAATGATTATGTCTACCTCAGCTGGCTGGCTCGCTGTTGTATGTATTAAAATTTTGTAGTCACATTTTGTAGTAAAAAGTAAAGTAAAAAGAAAATACTGTTATGTATGAAGATTTTTCAGAAAAAAATTTGTGTCAGTCACACTTTAAAGTACTGCCCTTCTTACTTCACTAGAAAAAATACAGATAGGAATGCTTTTACTTTTGTTCAGTGAGGCTGTGATCTGATTCAAATGTAACTTTTGTAGCGTCAGACCTCAGACACAGATGTAGTTTTACTTAACAATGCCAATCCTTTTTTATTAAACTTATGTTTACTCATGTTTTCCTTTAATCTGATCTCTATGAAGCCATTGTTTTCTCATTGTAAATGCATATTAAGTTGTGAAAGGTAATTATTAATGCCAGGAACATTGTTTCTTTTTAGATATAATGAACCAGAAAGGCCGACTTGCATGGGAACTCTATCTGAAAATGGGAACTTCCTCTGATTCTTTCAGTCTACTGCAGCTTATTGCCAATGACTGCTATAAGGTGAGGGCTTTCTTCATGTAGCTTTGTCATTACTGTATATAGACAGTAATAAGGTACAGTGTAAGACTGATGTAAAATGTTGTTTCAGATGGGACAGTTTTACTATGCAGCCAAAGCATTTGATGCCCTGGAGAAACTGGACCCAGGATCTAACTATTGGGAGGGCAAAAGAGGAGCATGCGTAGGTGTATTTCAGCTGATACTGGCAAACAAAGAGTCCAAGTATGTTATCATTATTAAACTAAATGCATGGTAGTATATCAGTGACACCTGTGTGAGCCTTCTGTTTAAATTAATATTGTTTTCTGTCCTATTTATTAATTAGGGAGACATTGAAAGAGATTGTGCCTCTGCTGCGCAATTCAGGAAACCCTCAGGTTGAATACATCATTCGAGCTCTGAGGAAATGGGCCAAGGAGAACAGAGTCCATCTTGCATGACAGTTATACATTTTTTACATTTTTATTTTTCAATGCTTACATGTGGAACAACTATGCTATGCATTTACTCAAAGTTCTTGAAATCAAATAAATTATATGTGTTCTAGGGTTGCTAAACTGTGCATATTTTACAATTTTATGACTGCATTTTGGATGATCAGGTTTGTACATAGTGTGTATTAAAATATATTTTCTGAATATTTTTTGTTTAAAAATGTGTTTTAAGCAGAAATAATGTATTTTATTTATTTAGATTGTATTTAAATGTATGTAAACGTATATCAGTTTAATGTACATGCATACTCTCAGAAGAGCTTTATTTCTGGAAAAAAAATACCCCACTGCTCACTAAATCATTCTGTACTAAAATTAGCCTCAAGTCAAAGCTGAAATTAAGAGTTGACCATTTTATTAAGAGCAGAACGGTGAGGATCAACAGGTGCCTCATTCTCCTTCAGTCTAAATCGGCTTTATTATTGCGTTTGGAGCTGAGCCAATCATCTGTCATTCTTTCTTCCGTTTAGGATTTGATGTTTGAGTTGGCATTGTGGAAACATGCTCTGATCAGCATTTTGTTGAATAGACTGATAGAAAGGCGTCAGTTGAGTGTTGTTTTCTATGAGAGCATGCTTCAAAGGGTGTCTGAATGCACTCATTTGCTTTTATATTCAGCAGGCTGTCCTTCTGTGGTGCACTGCCACTTTATAAAGGTCATTTTACTAGTGATAGTCTTGTTATTATCGCCTGTTGTGACAGGGGCGGGTTTAGGATCGGGGCAGACACTGATTGGTGGAGAAAAGCCCCCTGTGACATGATGCTTCCGGTCCGTACGTAGGCGCATGCGCAGTGACCCCTCTCTACTGATATTTTATTTACTCTGGAAACCCAAGATGGCTCCTGTGAATGTCTCGGTCCCATAGCAAATTGAGGATGCAAGCAGTTACCGAAAAAACAACTTTTCCCCGACCGTGGTGTCCACTGGAAAGCGATTCGTGCGTTTCGGAGGATGCCTGCACATCCATCTAAGCACTGAGGAGCCGCGGCAGCTTCGCGAAACCCTCTTTAACCCACCAATTTGGTGTAGTTTCGCGAAGTAGTAGCTCTTCTCCTCGCTGTCGCTATCTGTCCTGAGCGAGGTGCAGGCAGGCAGCAGGCAGCTCATCCAAATGGCCGAACCGAGGAAAGTGCAGTTTGTCACCCTCTCGGCCTTCGCCCCCGGATCAGGCGCGGAGTCCAGAAAACGCCGGCTGGAGGAGAATGGGGCTGGCTTCAACTTCAGCAGGACCGCGGAGGTCGATGCGGTGGCAGCGGCTGGGGCAAAAGGCAAAACCGGCGACAGGGACAAGGCTGGAGCCGAGAGAAGGGCGACGGTACGGCTGGACCTGCCTCTATCCGAGCCCGACGACCGCTCCTCGGCTGAGTTTAACTACGGAGAACTCATTCAAAACACTCAGGTAAAAGTTTCTCCGCGCTGTGGTATTTTCACAAACTGAGAAACTCTGGAGTTGATATTCCAAGTGTTGCACTGTTACAATTATGGACTTGTCATTGCTTAGTTTGGGGGGAAGTGCACCTTGTCCTTAAGTGGACTAGCGTGGTTGATACTTAGATCGGTTTTACAAGCTCCCCAGACTCAATTTGCATGAGTTAACTCATAGACTCAACAATAATAAAAAGTACGTTGTGAGTTAATAGTTCTGTTCTTTTTTTCCCCTCGATTGCTTCCTATCCGCAGTTTTAGAAAAGTCATGCAAGTGTCCCCAATCTCACTCAAAATGGTGGAGACAGGCATGACCCATAATTAACTAAATGGGAAATAAGATGATTTTTTTTTTTCTTTGATTTTTTTTTTTTTTTTTTTACACATTTTGGAAATGGTAACAGAGAAACTGTTATTTGATTGTTAGTAACATAATTTCTGCTAGTCAATGGACATAAATGGTGCTACTACATTTTAATTACTTTACTCTTTTATACCAGTTAGGCTTTTATGATTTATTGTAAAAGCTCAAACAATGACAAAATGGCACCATAAAACAGCTAACTAAACTAATCTAAAACTGCTGAAACCCATGAATAGATAAAACTAGATAAAAAAAGTACCGTTACATTTCCTCCTGTGTGATACTTGATATTTGCCAGTTGCCACTCTGCACATGTTTATTCTGTTTGATTTGCACATATAAAGCTGTGCATGTACCTGTGCCCGTTCACCTGATTTACCCAGCAACAGTCCCATCAGTGTGCTCTGTACTTTAATGCCACATGCAGTTTGACCCTCTGGCTGCACTGATGATGATGAGAGAAGTACCAGGATGTAGCATGGGCAAATGTCGTACTTACTCAGGCTCATTGGTAGTCCTATCAGGATAATTACTATATTGACAAAATTTTGAGGGGTCAGTATTTATGGTGGTATTTTTTTCTTTGTGATAGTGTGAAGATTTTTGCAATATGATTTGAGCTGTAGAAGACTGAATTATTAACTAAAAATAATTACTTAAAATTACTAATTACATAAAAGTGCACTATGTAACTTTTCTGGTGGAGAGTCAGTCAAATTTTCTCCATGGAGATGTAGATGTTTGTCTTAAATATTTGGCATTAAACCTTTTCTATCTTCATGGAGACCAGACCAAGCTACAGGTCAGATCTGGGGAGAGGCAATCCCACTCACAGTCAGAATGTTTTTCTAGGGATTTTAAAGCTATGAAACCACCTGTAATTAAACAGATACCATACATTTTTCAGTGTTATACTGTGGAACATTCCAGGCAGAGCACTGACATATCCATAGAAACAAGCAGGTGACACTCTTCACCAGAAAAGTTACATGGTGTACCTTTAAGTGTTCTGCATTCTGCTATTTTTTATATATACATCTCAACAATATTTAACGATATCTTACATTTTGGGGGGCAATTTTGCTTTATGATTTGGTTTCAATATTTTATATATTCAATATTATTAATATTTTATCGTCTATATTTATTTCAGCATTATATCACACTTCAATATGTTATATGTGATATTTTGAATTAAATTGTATTTTATAGAGCTTTATCATCCCCTTTATCAGTTTTAAAATATCTAAACAAGTTTATTTAGGATTCATGTTAAAATGTATCTTAAACTCACAATTTTTCTTTCCAGAATAAATCTTCCAGTCAGACCTCAGCTCCAGATCCCACTGACCCCTTCAATGATGACGAGCGAGAGCGACTTGAGGTTGAAGCACTCGCTAAAAAGTTTGAAAATAAATATGTAAGTTTGATTGATTTATGTTCAAGTCAGACAGATTACTGGATAAGAAAACTAATATAATTTCTGTTATTTGTGAGCAAACTAAGCATTATTTTACTCTTTTTATAATATACACAATTGTACCTAAATGTTGCTTTTATCCTCAGTGTTCGCTATCTGTAAATTTTTTTTTTTTTATTACATTTTTTTTTAAATAAGAAAAGCCAGTGAAAAGACTTAAATAAATGTCTCTTTCTGCACTCATTATCTAAACCTTCAATGAGGAGAAAATTAATTTCTAAGGCGTTGCTACTTGATGTTAAGAAGTGAGAATTTTATTTAATAATTCCAGTACAGTTTCCTAGACTATATGCGGTTCTTGTTACAGGGAAATATGGGGAAAAAGAAGAGAAAGGACAGAATGCAGGATTTGGTGGACATTGGTTTTGGCTATGATGAGACAGACCCATTCATTGACAACTCTGAAGCTGTAAGTACATAGTTTTAGTCCTCGTATTGATACTTTGCAGTTACATCACGCTGGGGGTGTATTTCTATGTATTTTTATTTTTATTTCAAATGTTCATTTGTTACCATGGTGACCCAATGTGCATATTAGCAATAACTACCAAAAATAACAACATGTTTTCAGGAGCCTGTGATCAATACGAGTGTTCACGGTCTTGTTTAGGTGTTTGATTTTCAATAAAAAAGTGAGAGTGACTAACTGAAAAACTGTAGGCTCATTCTGTCAGATTGTGTTAAAATAAACCTAAAGTCTAAGTCTTAAGTCTAACTTGACTAACAGAGCTTCAGACAGAGCAGTGCTTTCAATTAGCTTCATACCCCCAGGGAATGTTGAGGACATCAGCTTCAAAGTATCAATATTGTAGTCTTTTTTTTTTTTTTTTTTAAACAAGCAAATTATAACAGCATTTTATAGCCATGTTCTTATCTGCACTTTCTTCCAGCGAAGTAGTGAGTTCTCAAAGCAGCTGCATCTTTAATTACGCTGTTCTTGCTTTTTGTAGATTTATGCTTGTGTTCAAACATCAGATTTTTCATTCGATTTTAAAGCACTTTCACGGATGGTTACAAGCCAATTTATGAAACGATAACAAAAATAAAACACTTCTTGGGAGATCATAATCATATATTTGTCTTGACTCTTGCATTGTTTTGTTTTGCAGTATGACGAACTGGTGCCCGCCTCCCTGACCACGAAGCTTGGCGGGTTTTACATCAACACAGGCACACTGCAGTTCAGAGCAGCATCTGACTCTGAGGGAGAGGAGGACAAGGTGAGAAGAATAGGATTAAAATAACTGACATCTAAATCCATTATGTTTATTTGCCACACACTGAGGATATGAGCATGCATAACACATAAGTGACCTATATACAATTGGCCTGCTAAGACTGTACTTCTGGCTCAAAACCATTGACATGTAATAATAATAATGATAATACATTGGTTTTATATACTGCTTTTCATGGTAACTCAAAGATGTTTTACAATAGTTTAACACAAAATAAGTAGTGTGGGTTTGGGTTTTAGGCTATGAGAAAAAAGTGAGTTTTGAGCTGTTTTGTTTTTTTGTTTGTCTTCAACTGGAGCTGTGATGAATAACATTAGATTTTATTATTTTCACTTTAACACACTCAGGCCTTTGTACAAAAAGAAAAAGAGGGCAGAGTGGACACACTGAGTATGATTTCACCAGTTGCATACAGCGCTTCTGGCTCGTTCTGACCCTGACTCCAATTGACTTGCATTGGAATATTGTCAACCCTCTTTCTTTATCTGTTGTTGTGAGCCTCG